ATGTTTAGGTATGAAATGCAGTTTATCATCTATAAGCCCTATGCAGTACAGTAAATCTCTAAGACTTCTTCGTCAGTATAACTGAAAATTTGTGCCCTTTGACTAATATCTCCCTGTCTTCCTCTTCTTCAACACCCTGGCCACCACCATTCCATTCTCTGCTTCTGTGAGTTTATGGCATTGTTGTGACTGTAAGTTTTTTGTGATTATTTTAAATTTTGTTATGCAACTGGTATAATGTAGGAAGATTTTCCTTTTTTCCAAGGCTAATTTACTCCTTTTTAAAATATTGAGTACGAAAAATATCTTAAAACAGATATTAGCTGGAGTCAAGATTAAACCAATTAAATAAGTCCATAGAAGCAGTATCATGTATCTGATAAGTGACTTGCATCTTATCTTTAAGAGTTCTTAACAGTAAGAACATAATCTCCTACATGAACAATTAGGATGTTAAGAACTTTCCTATTTTGGTACAATACTGAAACTAAATCAATCACTTGATATTGTATTTTTTAAAAGTATTTAAAGTATCTTCTATGGAAACAAAATTAGCAGAGTATGATCTTAGTTCTTGAGTTTGGAAAACAGCTAGTCAAAATATCTCTAGTTTTGAAACTGAGGATCTTAAAAAGGTGAAATCAGGATGGTATTTCCAATATGATTGATTTTTCTGCTTTGAACATTGAATGCCATTGTCATATCACTGGGTATTGTAGTTACACCTCTTGAGTGATCCACACATAGCCGCAGACATGAAGGTTGTCCATATAGTGTTGTTGTGAAATTTCTGATGTGTAATAAAGTCATAAATATGCAGCTTGTAGGACTTGGGGAGAGAGCAGTTTTGTTTTTAGTGAAAGTAGAATTCAGATCTTGGCTACAAGTATATAAAGAAAACACAAAACACTTAATAGAATTTGATAAAAGGTATGATATGGTATACTCACACAAACCTAGATGTATGCCTACTACACACCAGGATATATATTATAGCCTATTTCTCCTAGACTCCAAACCTGTAAAATGTTACTGTACTAAATACTATAGGCAATTATAACAACAGTAAGTATCTGTGTACTTAAACATACCTAAACAAAGAAATTTACAGTATAAAGGAAAATAATACAGGTCAGAAATTCAGATCCACATTAAGAAAGGAAGAGTAAAGAGAAGGAATAAATCAAGATAAAATAAATCTATACTTTTTATTCATAATTGATCTATAAGCTAATTTTTAAGGTAATAGTAATAATTCTTTGAGGAGGTAGGTAAATAAGTGAAACGCATGCATAGGAGCAATTCCATAATGGTTGGGAAAAAAGAATTTAGGAACACTGTTACAATGCATAAAATGGTACAATGTTACTTGAATGTGGTCCTAGATTAATTTTAAATGTATATTACAAATTATAAGGCAACAGCTAAAACATTTTTTTTTAAAATATAACTAATATGTTTAGGGTAGAGACAAAATAAAATCACATAAAAGTGATTAATTAAAATTAGAACAGGCAAAAACAAGATGGAAAGATCAAAGAACAAATGAAACATAGAAAATAGTAACAAAAAAACAAATAATCCAATCAACAAATGGGCCAAAGATCTAAAACAGACACATCACAGAGGAGGATATACAATCAATAAACAAGTACACAAAAAAATGCTCACCATCTCTAGCAATCAGAGAAATGCAAAGTAAAACCACTCTAAGATACCATCTCACTCCAGTAAGAAAGGCAGCCATTATGAAGTCAAAAAATAACAAGTGCTGGCGAGGATGTGGGGGACAAGGTACACTTGTACATTGCTGGTGGGACTGCAAACTGGTGCAGCCAATTTGGAGGGCAGTATGGAGATTCCTTGGAAAGCTGGGAATGGAACCACCATTTGACCCAGCTATTCCCCTTCTTGGACTATACCCAAAAGACCTAAAAAGAGCATACTACAGGGACACAGCTACATCAATGTTCATAGAAGCACAATTCACAATAGCTAGACTGTGGAACCAACACAGATGCCCTTCAACAGATGAATGGATTTTAAAAATGTGGCAATTATATACAATGGAATATTACTCAGCATTAAAAAATAACAAAATCATGGCATTTGCAGGGAAATGGATGGGACTAGAGCAAATTATGCTAACCAAAGTTAGCCAATCCCTAAAAAACAAATGCCAAATGTCTTCTCTGATATAAGGGAGGTGACTCAAAACAGTGTAGGAAGGAAGAGCATGAGAAGAAGATTACCACGAAACAAGGAAAAGAGGAGGGAGGGAAAGGGAGGGAGAAGGGGAATTGCAAAGAAGACAGAAGGAGACCCTCATGGATTCACAAAATACATATACGATGCTGTGAGGGGGAAGGGAATAAAAAAGAGAGAGAGAAAGAGATAATTGTCACAGTAGAATGGCTAGAGAATAGTGATGGGAGGGGAGGGAAGGGGAGGGGGGATCGGGAGGGCAGCAGAATACAACCGACACTAGGATTGCTGTATATATACACATGGATGTATAACCAATGTGATCCTGCAATCTGTACACGTGTAAAAATGAGAATTCATACCCTATTTGAATCAAATGTATGATATGTCAAGATCATTGTATTGTCTCGAGCAACTAATAAAAAAAGAATAGTAACGAAAACAGTAGATATCATCCAAATAATATCAATAATTACTTTAAATATAAATGATCTAAATACACTGTTTAAAACACAGAGATTGCCAGAGTAGATTATTTAAACAAGCAAAAAAATAAATAACACCATGTTTTCTGTAAGAAACTTTCTTTAAATTAAAGCAATTTTATAGGTTGAAGTTATGGAGAAAAATGTATTAGGCTAACACTAATCACTAGAAATCTGGAGTAGAAATGTTAATTTTAGATAAAGCCAAATTCAGAAAAAGAAAAATCATCAGCAATAAAGGTATGCATTACCTAATGATAGAAGAGTCAATTCTCCAAGAAGGTTATAATAATCCTAAATGGTGACACACTTAACAAAAGAACTTCAAAATATATAAGGCAAAACTTCAGAACTGAGAGGAGAAACAGAATCCATGTGATGGTTCATTGCATGGGGGTTTTCATCTGAAAGAAGATGGACTAATTTTAAAGAAACAAGGACTGAACTGGGAGAGGAATATCAGATAATCAATCCCCAGGATGACTGTGCTGGATTGGGGTGAATCGGCAGGGCATTTAAGTAAGTCTCCTCACTCTATTGGAGCTCCTCTGTTTGAGTAAGAACATCTTGGGGCAAGGTTATCCATCATCTATCTGTGGCCAAGTTCTTGGCAGTCAGGAAACAAGTGCAGAGTGCAGGAAACCACAAGGATATGAGAACAGCATTTCTCTTGGGTTCCTAAGCACAGGCGGCCTCAAATCCTAGTCTGGTCTGAAAGCTGAAAAGTGAGAAAACGAGGCTGAACGTTAAGTGTAGTGACCAATTCTATGCATAAAACACATCAGTAACATATTTTTATGTGCAGAGGGTAGTTCCAGAAGTTTCATGGTCCTAGGAAAACTTTCTTTTACAATAATACTCATGTGATAGATAAAGATGATCTAGATTGCAGAGTGGGATTCAGCCACCTGACAATACTGGGCCCCCAGGTCTCAAACTCCAATGTGCACACAAGTTAACCAGGGAACTTTGCTAAAATGCTGACTTCAGTAAAGTAATCTTTGGTGTTGTCCCAAAATTCTGCATTTCTAACAAGCATCCAGGTGATCCTGCAGTCCTGTTCCACTGATCACAGCCATAGCAAACTCAGAGGAACATTCAGATTGGAATCCATACTGCAGTCACACGAGTTTTCCTAAAGTCAGTTTTCACATAGATGATCCAATAACAGAGAAAACTACTGAGGTCCTGCTCCAAATTCTAGAAAATTCAACATGAAAGTATTAATAGACTGTAGGTTAGCGCCTCAGTTCTGCAAATGGAAAAATTACCCCTGAGGGGGTAAGCCATTTGCCTTAGTCTTCACGTACCTAGCTACATATGTGTTCAAGACTTTAGTGATGGTTTTCTGAAAACTGCCCTTTGCTTGCTTCATGCAAGACAGTAAATCAGTCTACAGGAGAAGATGTGGGGACAGAATTCATTGTGAACAGTGGAAATGTCAGCAAATTTGACACAGAAAATAAAGGTAATAAAACCAATGAAGATTCAATGAGTGAATCTATGAAAGACCAGAAAACAAAGTATGTATACAAATAGGCATTCTAATACTGACAATACAGCAAATAGGACCACTTCATTCTGATAAGGTATGAGAGACATAAGAGTCAGAAGCCATCATCTGGACTTCCACTGTTCTTTATGTGGTGAGCAACCCAGGTTCAGGTCTACCATCAATCCTATTCTTTCTCTATTGCACTAGATCAGAACCTAATATGCAGTCCTCATGGGATCAGGCTAGCGCTAAGGTTATAATCCTATTACAAGGTGTTCAGGATTTAAGAGAACATCTGTCTCCAACAATTAGCCCAACCCATGTCATTTAGGCATAGATTGAAAGCAAAAGCATGTGGTATAGGCTCACAAACGCAAGAAGAATTCACTGAGAAGGATTCCAACAGGGCTAGTGCTCACAGTGTACCCTTCATGTACTTCTCTTTGTAATCTTGAGGTCACATCAACACTGATGTTGGCTTTTAATTGCCCTCCAACTCTTCCTTCAAAGATAGAAAACTTCTTGTATAGTTCTGGTAAATATATAAGAGCAAAAATGGGTGACAAAAATTGTACAGAGAATTCTATAATTTAGGCAATCTCTGGCATCGAATATTGAAATTGTTAGTCTGGTGCCCATGTCACCTGTTTTTCTTGTCATCACTCTGGAAAGCCTGGAAGGAATATTAAGTATTGCATATGGATGCTTTGAACTTCTCTGGGAAAGGTATAGGTTCTGGGACCACCATTACTTGTCTGAGGGTCATGCTGGGGAAAGAAGATTACATTCAAAGGGATGTGCTTAGAGAGGCAAGGTGGTGTGAACATCCTTTACTTTTATTTCAAGAGAGATATAGGTGAGATTTAAAACACAAAACATTACAGTAGAAGAAATGGTGAAGGTGTGCTGATAGCCAAGGAGAAACCTCTCCCCCCACCCCACCTTTTTCTTTTTTCTGGAAGACATCCTTAGGGAGCAAAGACAGCAAGGTCCACAGATGACTTCAGGAGAGTATTTGCAGCCTTCACAAGCATGGGCACAGTGGAGCCTGTGAAGAAGGTTAAGAATCATCAGGGATGGGGGACAGCAGATGAGATAGCTGTTCTCCCAGTGACCCCCCAAACCCTGAGTTCTGCTTTATCTTTCCTCAATACTCTTTATTTTTCTTTACTTCATGCCTACATTCTCCTTTACTTTTCTCTGGATCTCAGAATCACTCAGCAGCTGTGAGATAATAAACCTCCAAGGAGGAGGTTTTCCAAGTCCAGCTGGGTACTTATTCAGCTCAGTACTGAGAGAGAGAGAGGAGAGTAAGCATACTTTATGTCCTTGTAGAAATTCACACTCCCCATCCATGTTCCCTTACATCTTTACTCAACTCTCCCCCTCCTACCTCAAATCAAAGATTTTACCCTCCTCCTGCCAAGGAAAGGACTCTTGAGAGACCAGAAATAGTCTGGACCAAGACAGTGAGGTAAGTGACTATGAAGACTCTTGGGGTCACCCTCTGCCAGGGCTGGAGGTGCACAGCTGGGAACTGTCTTCCTGGGAGGGAAGGAAAGGCCCTGGGAGTGGGTTCTTACCTGCTTGGGTGTGAATGCAGGCCACAGCTTTCCTTTCTAGAAGCTCCCACTCCATCTTCTGGTCTTTACCATGGGTGTGCAGCCAGACCACAGCCAGGACAGTGGCCCAGACTGAGAGGTCCACATCCTGTATAATAGACAGAGACTTCTCTGAAGACTCTAGGCTGGGGCAGGAAGCCCCTTAAGGACATGCAAAGAGTGCCATGCCCTCCTTACTGGCAAGTCCCAAATTGCTGCTAGATGGTATTATTTGGTCTCCCTCTAACTCTGTAACTTGCAAGGCACAATGATAGGCCATGTACCCCAAGGCAACAGTCTACTGAGTCTTAGAGTAGAAAGGTCATAAGCTTTAAATCCAGAGCTGTGTAGAGACCCCTAACACCCATGCAAGGATTACCCAGTTGTGTAAGAGAAACACATGCTTGGCAATCTTATAAAGTGTCTTCATGTTTTTTTTTTCATTCCCACATTTTTATTGGTGTATTATAGTTGTACATAATGGTGGGATTTCTTGTTACATATTTGTACATGCACATAATATAACCATATAAGTTGGCCAACATCATTCCCCATGTTTTAAAATTTTAATCCTCATTCTTAACTCTCCACTAAACAAAGGCATGAGGAATTATCAATAACCAAATTTTTTTTTTGGGGGGGGGTACCAGGGATTGAACTCAGGGGCACTCAGCCACTGAACCACATCCCTAACCCTATTTTGTATTTTATTAGAGACAGGGTCTCACTAAGTTGCTTAGCGCCTAGCTAAATTGCTGAGGCTGGCTTTGAACTCACAATCCTCCAGCCTCTGCCTCCAGAGCCGCTGGGATTACAGGCATGCACCACCATACCCAGTCCCACATTTTTAAAGACAAAAAAATGCTTCATACAGAAGTGAAATGAAGTGCCCAAAGTTAGTATTCCAGCAAATAATTGAGGTGTGACTGATTCTGAATAGTCTAATTGTAATCATACTCCTTAAAAGATAATCTCATCCATAGATCAGAAGACTGCCACCCATGAGTTTCACCAACTGTTCATGAAAACTTCAGGTTATAGAGTCAGTGGATAAAGGGAAATTTCCCATATATATCATGAGCTTTAAAATTTGTAAAAAGCTACCATGTCCTCTTTGAATAGTCTCAATTCTATCAAAATTTTAGTTCCTTCAATTCTTCCTGAAAAGGAAGGTCATGTAAAAGCAGCAGGAACTCCCATGCTGTTTTCATGGTTTAAAAACAAAGGTCACAATTATTTTTGAAAAACAACTGGAGGAGAACATTCTTATGAATTCTCTGACCTCAGTTCAACAGTACTGTGGCAGTTCAGGAAATCTTCTTGCCTCCCCTCTTCCTGTTTCCAATATGCTGATGTTGTTTGTAACCAAACCAAACCTCTGATTTTCATATGCAATGACTTTTGAGGCAGATTGCTCCCCCTTTCAACTGTGGCATTGAGAATTTAAAACCAAAAGCTATTCTTTAGTTGTATTATTACTATATTTTCTGTTTGCAGTAGTGGTGGTCGCATTGTTTCATGAAAAAATTGCAATTCCTTGTTTAGCAGACTTTAGGAATCCCAAAACTCTTGACTAACACTTTAGTTCTCTTTTCTGTCATCCTAAGACTTTAGTTCTCTTTTCTGTCATCCATGAATAGGAAAATCTGATCTATATCCTCATCAAAATCTTCACAGAAGATATATAAAAATTCAGTTTCATGGTTTAAAAATATATTCCATTTTAAAATCAATTCATAATTAACTGTTCTGAATGTTCAACTCCTTCACTCTTGGTCCAGATATTCATCATTACAAAACATTCAAATTCCCTCCTGAAATAAATATCTACCAGGTCTCTGACTCACTTGATTTGTTGGCTTTGTTGCCATGTCAAAAAGGAAACGTCAACCTGACATGTCTTGTGCTCCTTGAACTTCATCATCCCTGCTCCAACTTCTGAGTATTTAAAAATCATTCTTGTATTTTAGAAATAAAATCCAGACACAGAATGAATTTTAAATTGTCCAGTAGCTATACCTTAAAAAGTAAAATGCAAATAGGCAGAATTTTATTATTATTTTACTTTATTTTGTTTTTGGTGCCAGGGATTGAATCCAGGACCTCAATATGCTAAGCATGTGTTCTACTGGTGAGCTCTGAATTCAGCTAGTATCTATGTAAGCCAATACACTATAAAAATGATTATTTTAACTTGAAATCAATATAAAATAATTTTGATAGTACATTGTACATTGTTTATTTTTTACCTGAAGTCAGTATATATTTCAGAACATAGAACACCTCCATTCAATTAAAATTTTTATTTTAACCTTAGCCACAATTCCAAGGCTCGATAGCCACAGGTGACTCATGGATGTTGCATGTTCAGATCATAGAATATCTGAAGGTTAGTTCATTGTTTTCTTAAGTTTGAAAGTTTGAAATGGGATTTGTCTTTTATGTTTTTGACAGCCATCATATTTTATCAATTTCTCTAGGAGTAGAAGTTTTAGCAAGTTACCTTAACTGAATGTACATTCTGAATTTATTTTATCTATGTCAGTATATTTCAATAATTAAAATAACTAGGTGGCTCCAATTTGTACTCACTTATCCTGACTTTGATGAACATTTTTATGTATGAACCACATTCTTTACTATTAATAGTGGGGTTATCATTAGTGGTTCTGAGGACAGATAGTCCTATCATTAAATGCAGCTTTGCCACTCACTGGCTCAGACACATATTTATACTTCTGTAAGCTTCAGCTTCTTTATCTACAAACAACAACATGAATAGGACCCACCTTATTTAATTGAAGTGAGGAGTAAATGTGGTCATGAATGTTAAGTTAGCACAATTCCTGGTACAGAAGACAAACTGAGTTTTAACTTTACATTTAAGATGTCTGGAAGGGAATATTATTTTAAATCCAAAGGATTGTTACTTTCTCCTTGTATTCCATCAACCTTCACATGAACTCCTACTAGCTGGCCCATAAATTCCTTGTTATTTCTATTCTAAAATAACCAGAAAAACTTTCAACCTTGACTTATTAGAAGTTAACTATGTCTGTGGATCCCTCTGTGTTCTGCTTTCTCAGGTGGATCCTGATCTACCCTTTTATGGTTTGGATCTGTAATGTACCCCAAAGATGTCAAAACTTGTTCTTCAATGCAACAATGCACTGATGGAGCTTTTAGGACATGATTAGATAATGAGGGCTCTGACCTCATCAGTATATTAATTCATTTGGTAGATTAATGATTTGAGTGGATTATTAGGAGAAGGCAGGGCATTTTTGGAAGAAGTGGGACATTAAGGACATGCTCTGAATGCTATATCTTGTCCCTTGCCACCCCACTTCCTCTGCTCTTTCTCTGTTTCCATGCTGCCATGAACTGAGCAACTTTACTCCACCAAGCACTTCCTCCATGCTATTCTGCCTCACCTCACACCTAAAGCAATGGAGCCAGCTGACCATGGACTAAAAACTCTGAGCCAAATCTTTCCTCCTTTAAGTTGCTTTTGTCAGGTATTTTGGTTACAGTGATGAAACAATGACCAATACACACCCCCACTCCTCATTACAAACTTTACTTCCTTAAAAGTATACCTACTCCATTGTTTTCTTTGAATCTTACCTGGGCAGGGTGTGCAGCAAGAAGGGCTTCCAAACTCACACCTAGGATCTTAGTCAGATCTTCATTCAGATCCCAGGAACCATTTGCTTTTTGGAGGTCAATCAGCTGCATAAGTTTAGTGCCTCCAATCACTTTGAGGGAAAAATAGAAAAAAGGAACGAGAGGAAACCACTGAGCCCCTGAACTCTGAGCACACCTGAGATAAGCTGCAGGATTCAGAGACAGGCTGCCACAAGTCTGCTCCAGAGAGAATGGTCAGACAGTACCCAGGTCTATCTTCAAACCCAAATTGTAAAAGGATGACTAGGGAAATGGGGGCCCAAACAGGGTGAAAGCAGAGTTCTGCTGTTTCCAGACAGAACTCTGTTGCCTGCAGACAACATATGCAGGTAGAGAGGGGGGAAAGGCTGTGTTTATTTAGAAATCATCCCATTAGTCGACATTATAGACTAGAAAGTCTACATGGTAGATTAGAGAAGTGAAATAAGGCCACCTCACCTTTATGATAACTTTTTGACTTGGTCCTACTGTTGTTGGAAGAACATGGGTTTCCCATCATAGAGACAGAACCTCTGAGATATGAGCATGTATTCCCCAAGCTCTGAGTATATAATACAGGTGCGCTTGATCCTATGTGTAACAAAGAGTGGTGAGAAAATGTCCCTGGAAAGATGCTCACTTACACTGTGGACCACGGTGATTTATAGGCCTATGGGGATGTTAACCATTCTCCTGATATGTCATGGTAGCAACGAAAGCTGAATCCCATGTAACCACAGATAAAAACAATCATTATAGCCTGAGTTCTGTTGAAAATCTGAAAAATACCGATGTACACAATGAGTTGCCCTTGCTGTCGGCAGCAGGCCAAAATAATATAAAGTCTAAGGATTATTTGAGACACACACTTTCCCATCCATATCAGTCAGCTTCAGTTTCTACCCTAACTGTGCTTCTCCCATGAGCTCACCACTGAACACAACACACCCTTACACTCTCAGATCTCTATTTTCTATTATTCCCTCTCTAACCCCTGACACAGGCTAAACAATCTTACCTACCTCTTTACTTTCATTTCAAGAGGCTCCTTCCAACTAAGTCTTAAATGAAGACTCATGAATCCTTGCAAAACATTCTTTTCCCTCCATCTCTCTCACTTGGCTGTTGTTCAATGTACTGCAGTCCAACCATCCAGGTTTGGCAACCTATCCAGTCCAGATCAATATTCCTCCACCCTCACACGGTACCTCCCAAATGTCCTTATTACTATCAGCTCCCAAACTCTTGGTCATCTCCCATCATCCCCTAAGGAAACTGAAAACCAGACCATAGACTTCACTCTATTCCTAGGTCGGCCATCCTCTTGAGAGATTTCAGCTCCCATGGAGACAGCCAGGTTTTTAGCCTTCTCAACTTAATTACTTGGGTTCTATTCTTCTTCAGTCTCACTCTCCAAAGTCATGATGGTTTTGTTATCACAAAGAATTGTTTCACTTATAAAAAATAAATTGAAAAAAAATCTTACTTTTAAATATACTATCCAAGTTTTCCTGTTTTATCTGAATTTTCACTTCCTCTAGATCACTTAAGTCTTTAATCTTTAATCACTTAAGTCTTTAATATATCTTTTGATATATTGCTTTCCTATATATCAACCTCCTTCCATCTTCATTGTGTACTCAATCTACATCTCAATTTTAATTTTTGCCAACTGCTTATCAACATCTACAAATCCACATTGGTAATTTCCTTTCGTTACACCCAATCTAGCAAAACCCCAAAACTGAAATGAGCCCAACTGTTCAGCTGCTTCATTTTTATACCAAAGTTGCTGAAAAGATAAACATAAGCTAAGGGTTTTTTTTTGGCGGTGTGGTCCCACAAAATAAGTCAAGGTGCCAAACTTAACTGGACCCTCAACCCTCCTTCACAGATGTTTCTATTTCTCTCTGGACAATCCATTTTCCAACTATTCCCAGTGACTCCTTTAAATATTTGCCTTTTCTTTGAGTCCTGACTTCCACCACTTCCAGTCCCACATCATCCCAAATGTCAGCCATTTGGATAATCATTAGCTACCTCATTATCAAGAACATAAATCAGCTTCATATTTAAACTATTTGTTAAATGATTATGTGCACCTTGTACATGTTACTATCCTTTTCATATTAAATCTCTCTGCCAATAGGTCATATTCTACTTCACTAAGACAAAAAATTTAACACTAGGCAGAAATCCTAGAGGTGGAGGGCAGGCTGGGTTTGTGGCTCAGTGGTAGATTGCTTGCCTGGCATGTGTGAGACACTGGGTTCAGTCCCCAGCACCACATAAGAACAAACAAATAAAATAAAGTTATTGTGTCTATCTACTACTAAATGTGTATATAATTTTTTTGAAAAAAAAGAAAACAATGTTTTTAAAAATATTTCACAGCAATTTCCTTAAAATAGTGTGTGCAGCTATTCATGAGACTTATGCATGGAATAGAACTCACCACATAAAATCCTTGAGTTCACAAAGGCTTTGTACAGAACTGGCCTTGGAATCTGCCTGTAAGCCCGGGGCCCCTGAACTGGCTGCTTGAGTTCCTTGTTTATGGCAATGAATGCTGTGAAGGAGCTGATGACTCCAGATTCAATGCTGATCTTCAACACGTCTTTTTTGTCCATTGCTGGGGTCTGTGTGAGGCCAAGGTCTTTGGTTTGGATGAAGGATTTGGCAGCAAGACGGTGAATAGTGAGGCTGAAAGAAAAAAAAGAAATTTCCAGAGAGGTGGGGAAAAACACCCACATTCTAGCTAATAGGTGCTCTTAAAATTTAGAGATAGCAGAGGAAAGAAAAATTAGAGAAGGAAAGAATAGAAACAGAGTGGCACACAAAGGAAGAATGAATACAAGGACACATTTTAAGCCACAGTCCAAAGAAGGAATCTAAGCAGTAAGAAAGGAGAAAAAAGAAGAAGGAAGAAGAAGAATGAAAGGAACAAGATGAAAAGGCAAGGAAGTGAAGTGGAGCAAAGGGTCAGAAAAACAAGAAAGAGAAGGGAAAACAATTCTCACTCAGCATCTGGCTTGGGTTGGAGAGAAAATGTCAGTTTATCCTCAAATCTTTTGCCCTGGAGCGTGTACTTGAGGCCTACTTCTCCTGTAGCCTCTGCTGCCTACAAATTGGAGAAGAACAAAAGTGATAAAAAGAAAAGGTCACAGAGAAAGTGATCAGAACTGGGGCAACTCCCCAGCTCAGCACATTACCATTTCTTAGTAGTGATTAGGTATCCCAGGAAACCAGAGACCTGAAATGATGGGGGAGACAGAGAGCTGATTCTACCTGGCATTTACAACCTCTTGCTAAAATCCTAATACACCAACCAGCTTCAATGAAACTGTCAGGGCAGTAGCTACTCTGAACAGAGAAACAAATAAGAACTGGAACTCACCGGCATTTTTCCAGTGAGTCGGGCATAGAGGATCAACCTCTGACCCCTAAAGATGACCGTTGGCTCTGGAGAAAGCAAGTTAGCAGACACACCAGGAGGCAAATTCCAGCTCAAGGAGATGTCTTCTACTGCAGGCTGAAGAGAGTGCTTCAGAGACCTAAGAACCTGATGGATGAAAGGAAATACAATAAGCATAAATAAAAAAGGATGAAGATAATTATAATTAACTCAATATTTATCATGTATCAGTTGCTATATGGTACAATACAAGTTATGTCTGATCCTTAACCCTATCTTGGGGATATGGGTATTATTTATCTTGCTTTACATACAGGAAGCTAAGGTTGAGAGATTTAATAGCATAAATGTGAATGAAGGATATGCTAGGGCAAGTTGATCCATGGAGAATGGAACTAGAGAAGGCATGGCAGTAACTGGGAAAGAGGAACTTAGAAACAGAACCAGAGATATCTTTTCCTTGTGCACACTGATAATGGAATATCAATTTGCCACTAAAAGAGGTCCTGAAGCACAGGCCTGGAGTCTCAAACATGATAGCCAAAGCTCTTAGTTTCTGTTTGGGCACTTAAATACAAGACCTAAAGTTCTTTCATGGAGGTTTTTTTTTTTTTTTTTTTCCTTTTCTTTTTGGTGGTGTTGGGATCAAACCCAGGGCTTCATGCATGCCAGGCAAACACTCTACCACTGAGCAATATCCCCAGCCCAAGCTCTTTCAGAATCTTATCTCTGGACTTCCAGCTATTAGGGTCAGATGCCATTCTCCAAAGTAAAAACATTTGCTGTAAGACCCAATCAGCTCCTCTGAAAATATAATTTATACCTTGGGTATTTGGAAAAATGCATGTTAGAGGCAAGCTAGGCTCTTGCCCTTGCAGCAGTGTCCCCCACCCTGCTGCATACTTGGTCTGGATTGACCACCTCTGGACACATGGCTTGCCCCTCACCTTGGGCTGCATCCTGTCCTTGCCTGTGATAAACTCAGAAGTTCCCCCTGACACCCGGGCAATGCTTTTTATTAAGCTGGTGGAGGCACCTTCTCCAATGCCAAATGAGAAACATCTGTAATTGTAAATGAATGGAGGTTAGACACAGGAACTTATAAAATTTATACATAATGGTGAAAACTACATGATGAGATAGTCTACTTCATTGAGAAAAGTTGTAATAGCCGTTTATTGAGAATATTGTATATTTTGGAACCTTAATAAATTCCTGAAATTAATAGTATGATTGAATCATCCTGAGTCTCCTAAGAGGCAAGGTTGTGTTTCATTTCATACATAAAGAACAAGGACCCTAAGAATTTAAGAAATCTGTGCAAGATCACATCTTTTATAAATGGTAGACATGACACTAGAACACTGCTATGACTAACTACAAGAGTCCCCTAGAAAACCAAGGAAAAGCTAGAAACTGTCATCAGTTCCTGACTGATACTGCTGCATCATGATGTTGCTCCTGCAAGGTTTAGGGCATGGAAATGTGTCTCCTACTCTTAAGGTAAAAGTTCTCATCCTGTTGTGGCCCATGTGCACTGATGGAGATTTTTAACCTCAATTTGGGTTCCAAAATAAAATTGTACATAAACAGACAATGCCTTAGTAATACTATGATAAGCCTTAAAATGGCAGAAATGAAAGTTTTCATCATAAATTCATACACTAGAATGCAGGCTTATGTGTCTATTTTGACATGTGTTTGTGTGACTCATCACCCTCAAGTGACATCAGTATTAGGATTAATGCTCTTAACTTGTGAGGATAAGGACCAGATATGTAATTGCAGTGAATTAACTGGGTTCATTCTCCCAAAAGATCACATCCTGCTAGTCTCTTTATGATCTCATCTTTAAATTTCCATTATGATTTTTAAACTCTAGTCCATATTATACAATGCATATATGCATAATTTTAAATGTTTTTTATTTATAAAAACTAAACTGAAAAATGCCTAGAACTCACTAACATGATTCATGTCAATGATAATAAAATTAATAACGGCAATAAAAACAAAAATGTATATAGTACATATTTTGTGTCAAGGACAATTCCTAGATGTTTTACATAGTTTTATTCTTTTAAGCCTCACAATAAACCTACAAGGTAAGTTCTACTATAAGTATCACCATTTCAGGTAAAGAAACCATTGCTTAGAGATTAATTGATTTTTCCAAACATCTAGCAAGAAGAAAAACTAGAACTTAAACATATGACTTCTTTTTATGACTTCATAGCAATTGAATGTGTGAATCAAAACTTCCCCTGTCCTGATCTCAGCAATGCTGGACTAAGTTGTTTCTGGCGAGGGAGAAGCTGTGCACAATATTTTTAATAATTTATTTGAAAGCAGTAAAGACAATAAGACAATTGAATCAATTGTATACAAAGTCTTTAAGAAGCTAAGTGCCAAATCCTGAAAGAGGAAGGAAGCCAAGAGCTTCGAGCCTGGTACCAGATGTCCATTTACCCTTTGAGGAAAGTGTCAAGTACAAAACGAATGGCCAAAGTGAGAAGAAAAAGCAGCGACTGAGATCTCCAACAGGCTAGTGTCTCTGAAAACCTCTCAGCTGTTTGGACAGAACCCTAGGGTACTACACTCAAGACATAGAGGAGAATTAGAAATAGGCCATCACCATGGCTGAAGTTAATTAGATCCTAATCATATCAAGATTGTCTGATTCTAGTGTACACATCCATCAGAGCAGAGTAAGACCTGCAGGAGGCAGGATATAATTTAGAGGCCTAAAGAATTTCTATGAACATTCATATAAAATATCTGATATCTAAACGAATATAGAAAATCTGAGAAAATTAAGCAATGTGCTTGTGAATAACACAGCTTAAAAAGAAAATCATCATATTAATTAGGAAATATGCTCAAAAAATTGCAAATGAAAAATGACAAGTCCAAATTCAGAATTTAACTACAGATATACTTACATTTATAGTTTTAAAAACTTGACTTAGAAACAAACAAGAAACCTCATAATTAAGTATCTAAACATCTATCTCAAGATACTAGAAAAGGAACAACTATTAAACCAAATATTTTAAATGAAAGAAAATGATGGAAACAGGAACAAATGAAAATAAAACAAAAATTTGTACAAATAGAGAGGATGAACAAAACAAAAAATAGTGGTCTTTGGAAGATCATGAAAATTGAGAAACTTCTATGTAAAGAAAATAGAAGGTACAAGTGACTAATATCAGAATTGAAAAGGTAGTAGTATCACTATAGACATCATGACATTAAGTGACACTTTAAGGTGATATCTGTAGAATGTTACTGCAAAGAAATTTTTTTAAAAATATTCAATTTTTTATAAAAATAAGAACATACAAAAACATAAATTGTTTAAAAAATAATTTCCCATACTTTTCCAGTTCCAGAGAGTCCACTATAACTTCTAGCAAATACTTAAGAAGAAATCTTCCACAGAATAGGGAAAAAGGCAATTTTTGCACTACAAATCTACAGTACACCATTTGAATTAATATCTCAATGAGGCACAGTCATTATACAAAAGTTAATGTAAGAAAAATTAATTTCTTTAGTGAAATTAAATATCTATTCAATAAAAATATGAAAAAAATACTACTTAAAACAATATCAAACACCTAAAGAAAATGAACTAATGAAAAATACATGAAGGTCTCTATGCAGAGAATTATAAAATATTACAGAGAGATTTTGGATGTGTTGTTAGATTAAGGAAATAAATAAATTCACTGATTTTGTGGAAAATTAAGTTTCTCACCTGAATGAAAGAAGATATCAACATAGAATTTGAGATAAAGAGAAAGAATGCTATGTTATTGCATTGGAAATTTGGACATCAGTAAAATTTAAGATTTTTTAAAAAATATTTGCTAGTTCTGTCCCCTGAAATACCTAGAATCAGTATCGGCCAATAGTCAGAAGCATAGGTAGCACTCAATGCCAGTTTTTACCTATGATTCCAACTAAATGGAACAGGGCTTCTTGGGAAATGCTTGAGTGCAGGCCGGGGAAGGGCACATTCTGGGTTGAAAACAAGAAAATATTCAAACACCCAAGAGACACATGGAAAAGATATGGGGGCACATAAAAGGGGCTCCCATTGATCAGATCTGGAAATATTGAGAATCTAAAGAGATGATGATAGTTATGCCACCTACTACATTAAAAAATAGTGGAAGAATTAAAGAATACATATTGATAGAATAAAAGAAGGAAGGGAAGAGAGGAAAGAGAGAAAAGGCTCTTCTTTACAGAAGGATGGCCGCTAGTGAATGTGGAAAACTTGATACTTTAAAAGTCACCATTGTGGGCTGAGGATGTAGCTGTGTGGCAGAGCAACTGCTTTGCACGTGTAGGGCTCTGGATTCAATCCAATCACTGCTTTGAAAAAAAAAAAAATCAAACCAAAAAAAGAATAGCATTGCACTACCAGGGATAGTAATAACATAATTTTTAAAGTAACAAATTTGAGTAATGTTGTGGAAAGCAACATGTTTACCAAATTTAAAATTTATCTGTCACAAAGCACCCTGTATGTAACTAAGTTGTCAAAGGTAATATCACCAGGCCCAATGTTACACTTTTGCAATATTTCTACCCCAAATGCTTAGTATTAATTTAAACATGAATTAAAACAGTCAAACAAATACAAACCGAGATTCTACTAAATATCTGTCTAGTTCTCTTTGAACTATCAATCCTATAAAAGTAATGAAAAACTGAATTATTCCAGTAAAAAAGACAAAACAGTCAAAAAAACTAAATAAAATATTTCTTCTTGGATTTGTTTCTACAACAGGAACAAAACTAAAAATCAAATTATTAGAAAACTGACAAATATGGCCTATATGGAATATGATATTATCTCAATACTACATGTTCTAAATTAAATAGTTCTATAGTGACCATTTAGCAGAATGTCCTTTTTTGGGGGGAAGGTAAGTGCATAAACATACAGTTATCCTCCTGTGTCTATAGATTTTCTGTCTACAGATTTAATCAACAGAAGATTAAAAATAAATTTTAATTTTGTCTATACTGAACAGGTATAGACCACTTTTTCTGTTATTTCCTAAATAGTAAAGTATAGCAACAATTTACCTAGCATTTGCATTGTAGTAGGTATTATGAGTAATCTAGAGATGGTTAAAAGTATATGGGAGACTGTAAGTATGTTATATACAACTACTATGCCAAGTATGTCAGAGGTGAACATCTTCTGATTTTGGTAGTTTAGGGTTGTTATGGAACCAATGCTGCACAGAGACTGAGGGACAAATGTACCTTGTAAATAGATGGAAAACTCAGCATAGTAAATACTAAATCCTCCAAAAATTGATTTTAGGGGGCAGGCAAGAGGTGGAATGAGATGGACATGATTACCCTAGGTACATGTATGAGTGCACATATTATGTGATGTTGAATTGTGTACAACCAGAAAAATGTACAGTTGTGCTGCAATTATGTACAATGGATCAAAATGCATTATGATGTCATATGTGCCTAATTAAAATAAACTAATTAATTAAAAACTTGATTTTAAAAAGTCAGTATAATTCTAATCAATATCCTACTAGACATTTTTTGGTTAAAAACTGACAAGGTAATACTACAGTTACAATATAAATACAGGGTCCTAAATATAACTAAATGAAATAAACAGACCAATCGAGGGGTGCAGGAAATCTAGAATCAAGCCACACAGGTACAGGCACATACTTGTGAAAACAGGGCATGCCCATCAATGAGGGAAATGCAAAATTTTCCATAAATGAGAAAAAAATTGATGTTTACATGATAAAAATAAAACATGATCTGCTACTACACATGTTACACAAACATAATTTACAAATATGTTCTATATCTAAATAGAAAAGACGAAATGACAAAATATAAAAACAACAAAAGAAAATACCTTCATTATGTTGGATAAGAAAGTACTTCAAATAAAACATACACACACACACACACACACACACAAATACATCTAAAAAACACTAATCATAAAGAAAAAGAACAAAAATTGAATTATAATAAGAATAACCATTACTCAAAAGATAAAATTTTGAGGGTAAAAAGGCAAGCTATATAGTGAGAAAACATATTTTTGGAACATACAGTCAGCAATGTGCTTGCATTCAGATTATAAAGTGAACTATAGATAAATGATATAATATAAAATTTTAAAAAAATAGGAAAGCAAATTGAATCTCTGTCACAAAAGGAGACAACTGAATGGCCAATACAGATGAAATTATGTATGATGTTGATCCACTGAGAAACTATAAGTTAAAACTATAATGAGATATCACTTTAGATATACAATAAATTTTGGATAGAAAATGAAGCAACTAAAAACCTTCTGTAAAGACATTGTGAATTAAATGACTATAGCCACTTGAAAAACTGTCTGGCATTTCCCTCAAATTCTGCAACTCTGTCTACTGAAAGAAATATATATGTATATAAATGTCAATACCCACTCCTCCCTCCACATCCATGGGGGATTGGTTCCAAAATCCCATGTGGAAACAACTTCCAGATCTGATACTCAAGTCCCTTGTGTAAAGTGGTATAGTATTTTCATATGACCTACACATATCTTCCTGTATAATTTAAATCATCTTTAGATTACTTATAATACCTAATACAATATAAATATTACATAAAAATTTGAATCCACAGATATGGAACTTGTAGATGTGGAGGGTTAACTATAAAGATGTGGGTGAACAAAAGGTAAATACAAGGATGAAAGAATGTTCATAGCAGCATTATTTTTAACAACAAACCAAAGTCCATCAGCATTTGAATCAAGAGAAACTACATTATGGTTATTCCATGGAATAATATTCACTAATCAAAATTTACCATGGCTACATGCAACATATGTTTGCATCTCAACACACTGTAGAAAACAAGAAGAAAAACTAT